TGCTGTTGCAGCTGAAAAGCTGGGAAGCTGCAGCTGCGCCAAACAGAGCCTAATGATGTTGAGATCATTTTAAACTTGAATAGGAAAAAGTTAAGATAAAAAGAAAGTCTAGAGGACCAAAATTTGATTAACCAAAATCTCTATCTTCTACAAGTAAAAGCTCCCTTTAAAAATAAGATTATATAAACTAAGCTTTTTTAAAAAATTCAAATCAACAGTTTGAAAATTCCTTTCAAACAGATAGCGAGAGTACCCAAGTAACATACTTATAGTCTAATTGAGAATATGATGAAGATGGAATTAAGAAAAACACACCATAAGGAATTTATATTTTAAATTTCATCAAGACGGCTTACTGAAATATCTTTTTGCATGCTTAATTTTCTTTACTTTTTATATTTATTTATGAATGAAATTACACTTTAAAGTAAGATATTTCTATGTTTTTGGTTGCAGGTATGATAGGTAAAGCAATTGAAGTGAATTGGAGCAAAAATGGGGCAAAAATGGGGCAATTGGAGCAGTGAAGCTTGGACTTGAACTGGCACCTAGGCGCCAGAAGGTGCCAGCTTGTGAAGCCATGGCGCAAGCCTTTAGCGCTTTGGCACCGAATCCCGTAAACAATCCAAAGAAGGTGACGCCTAGGCGCCACATATTGGCGCATAGGGGTCAGTTCATTTCCCTAGGCGACAGAGAAAGTGGCTCCTAGGCACCAGAACTCTCCGGAGCAATTTTCTGAGAGTTTTTTAGAGATTCGGAACGATAGAAAGAGGGATGTTTTGTCATTTGAGGACTTGGGGACGAAATTCCAAGGTGGGGAACTCCCCAAGGACTTCAGGAAATCCAAATTAGAAGTAAGATTCCACTAATTTAGAGAGATTTGTATTGGAATTTGAGAGCATTTGTAAGGGATTGTATCAACAATTATAAGGAGTAGAGAACTTCAGTGGAAGGATTTCAGAGAGATTAAAGCTAAGTATTGTATGTTATGATTGCATGGTAATCCAGTAAACATATATTTAGTGAACTTGTTTTGCTAAAGTAGAATTTGTTTGATTGTCTTGCGATCCTTTAAATCACATATTTAGTTTAAATTGCTTTGTTTCATGAAGACTTCTATTGAATCTACTATGCATTGTGAGTAGAAACCCTGTGTTTTTCTTTTGTGATGATTTGGTAGTAAGTGTAGGGTGTTAAAGTTTAAGAATAAATCTTAATTTCATAAGTGATGAATGTTCTCCTAGACTTAATTTACATATCTTACCGGCCATAAGATTTGTTAAAACTTATTGTGACCCACTTGACTTGACCATGAGCGGTGGTGAATCAACATGAAAATATTCACATTGTCCATTTAACTATGAAACATAGTAGTTAGGTGACTGTGCAAAGTTAGGGAGATAAGTATTCTGGGAGATTTAGATTAGAGCTTTCTGAGTGACAAACGGGGCATGCAGTTATGAGGAGCTTATATGTGGCACCAACTGGCACATTTGCCAAAAACAAATAACTAATTAGTGAACTAATCTTATCTATAAGTCGGGAGAGAGTAAATAGATATATCCTCCATTTTTCACTACTTTATTTACATTCTTAAACTTCAAACCTACAACCTACTTAATTATTCACAAGAGAAAAATATTTTTTTATCAATCTTGAATTTCACCTTATTGTTTGCTCTAGATAAGTTTTAACATGATTAAAATTGTAACTTAGAAGTAATGACAGTAAAACTACCTTTATCGACATTCTAAACTAGACCTTATAGTAGTAGACTAGAACTTCAACTAAAATAATTTCTTCTGCGATTCCTGTGAGATCGATACTCAAGACTAAAGAAAATCCTATATTACTTGAACAATACGTGCACATGCATTAATATATGGCGAATAAGGAGAGGGAGTGGAAAACTAAGTGATTAAATTTTATAAAATATATTTTCAAAATTACAATATTTAAATCCTAAACCACTAGGTATACCGTAAGAAAGTAGCGGTCACTTACTTATCATACAAGTTGTGGCAAGGATAACATCCTGTAATAGGTTTTTGGAACATTCCCTAAATAATGCTCAAATGATATTAAGTGGCCTTTATTTTATTGGGTGCCTATACAACGATGACTCCTAAATGATGCATTCTTTTCATAAAAAGTAGGGGATTAAAGAATAATTTAAGTACTCTTTCGTATTGTCAAACTTAAAGTTTTTAATTTTGACTCCAAAATAAATTTGAATAATTGAATGAAAAATAGGATAATACCAGTCACATTAGAATTTTTTTTTTTTTTTTGTAATCATAAATATTCATATGACTCTAGCACAAACATGAAAAAAAAACAAACCACTGAGCTCATTAAACATTGAAAACTATGCATAATCCCTAAACATCACTATGGCTATTACAAATAAAAATGATGCTCTAGTGTATTTTGCATGTTCATAAGTCTCAGAATGAAAATTTGAGATATTCAACCATTTAAAAAGTTATGAAAATATTATATTTAAATACTAAAAGAATGGATGAACAAAATGAAAGTGATAAATCCAGGTGCTACTTTTATTTGAAAAAATATGAAAAGATAAAGGCAAACTGCTCAAGACTATATTTGAAGTGCTCGATATTTCGAGATAGTAAAGTCGATCCTTCTCCTTAGCAAGTATAACCTTCCTCCAAAAATCTTAGTCTAAAAACACAATGAGAAAAACTATGAAACATTTTAAGTCTTTGGTAAGCTTTTAAATTGAAATAAAATTATCTAGCTATTTTGGAACATGAAAGACATTTTTATATGTTAGAAAAGGAATGGAACTAGATAGATATCATTGAACTCTATGAGTAAAACAAGAGAACCATTAGCAATAATGATTCTCTACTAATAGGACAAGAAGTATAAGAGTTGAAATATGTTGAGTTAGTCATTACATGATTTGTAGCTCCCTACTCAATTAGTCAAGAGTTGACCAAACATTTTCTAAGATATGTAATTCAAGAGGAAATGTGGATTTACTTGAGTGTGCTAAAAAACATGCATTAGAAAATTTATTCTCAAAGAATTTATCAAAATTTTGAGTTTTCAATTCTTCACTGATGGATCCTCCTTTTGTATGTTCTTCAATGTGACTAGTTCGCTTTATTAGGTAAGTCTAAGATTAAGACGTTTGTTGGCCTCCACAACTCCTTTATTCTCAGAATGGTGGTTTCCGATTCAATTTTCAGCAATTCTCCATGGTGATCCTATGACCTTCATTGATGCAGATGTTTTATTATTTTGTTTGCCTCCACTTTCATTCCTAAGCTCACAAGTCCAAGAACAAAAGAAACCCAAGTAATAAATTTGAGTCTCTGGAGTACTATTACTAGAGTTAATCACGAGTAAGGTCAAACTCTAGTTGAAGTTGATGAGCAGAGGTGGACATCAGGCAGGAATTCACAATGATTTTATTGATCAATGCAATTACGTGAAACTGTGATATAACATGAAAGAGATGTAGGCCAACAAATAATAAATCCAAGACAATTCAAAAAATGGTGAAAAAGAGCTAAAAGGACAGAGAATAAGGAATAAAGGGATAGCACAGAAGCAATCCCCATTGCGTTGTAGGTTGATATTGCGTCTAAGTCATGTGAAGAAGGTCGGGACCTATCTTAACGATGAAGAAAAATAAGTGGTGATAAAAGATAAGACAAAAATCAACAAAAAGACAGTTAAGGCTTACGTAACTATAAGTAGCGATGAAGGTCAAAGCACTCAGAGGCCAAAATATCTAAAGTTCCAGTACCATTAGCATAAAAAAATCATTTTTATTCATTCTAAGTATTAATTCAAGGCAGATTATAGATTTCTTTATAAGAAAAACAAAAAAATTGAAGTACACCAAAACAGAAAAATATTTATAGCTAAGCAAATAATAACCTTCATATGTACAAACAGATTTTATATCCAGGGATTTCCAATCTATTTTTTACATGAAAATGATATATGGATTTTCCTTGATATAGATCCATGGATCATGATTTCCTTCCTTAGCATGAATCCATGGATCGCGATTTCCTTCGCGAAAATTCAGAGGTTCCATCAAAGACCGCACATATCTAAAAACGCAAAACTATAAGACAGAATAGAAACAAAACAGCATTTGATTCATTAATCACACGTATAAACTAAAAAAGAATGTTTCATCAGAGACAACTTCTAACAAGTTACTAATCAAAAGTATATAGATGTGGCCACAACAACTGTGGGTTATAGTACATGACAACATTGGACACAAGTAGAAGTGAATATCTAAAATCTATCTATATTAGATGGCTAATAAAGAATCCAATGCCACAACACTTGAAAATTAAAAAAAAATAAAAAAAAAAAGAATAAGAATGCAAGAAAAGTTTACCTTTAAAGCTTTACTTTTTCTACCCTTATCACGGTTGCTGATTATTCTTATGAGTTTATTTGAATTTGACATGTTACTCATCTGAGAAGCAACTGGAGAGGGCATGGATCTGCCAGCAGGAGTCATCGTTTCTGGGGACTCTGCCCGCTTTGAGAGCTTAAGTTTCTTTGAAATATTTTGTCCGTAAAACCCTGCAGATAGGCATTACAAATCAGTAACCCTATCAAAAGCTTGAGATTTTTTTATAAAAAATTGAAGCTAGCTCGAACAAAGGTTACCCATATTTCCATTGGATTCAAACTGCAGACCTTCACACCGCTTTTTAGTATGATCTCTCTGCAAAAGAGAAAGGCCATTTTAAAACAGTTCAGGCATATCATTCAGATACAAAAATGATACAAACGGTAGTGGTAAAACACATTAGTTATACTACAAAAATGCAATAAAGTTTAAGAATTTAAATTATGGGAATAAATTATCTGAACAATAAGAAAAACGATGATAAATTACACATCTGAGTTCTTTCTATCAACTGGTGAATGTTGGTTTTCTAAATAAATAAAACGACTAGTTGTATGGCAACTTGTCAGCCTGTCAAGCATATTGCAACCTTGTAGAATGTAAGGAAAAAGCAAACTGAGCCAACTTCAAATGTTTGCATGCTTACAAATATAAAAAAATTTACGGCTCAAGCAACCTAAACTGAGCCAACTGCCCAATCACATTTCATTTTGAAGTTTAACCTTTTTCTTCTTTGAAGCCGCCTTGTTAGCTTTACCATCAAATGTGTCGCATATTTACCTCACCAATTCCATTATTTTTACAAGGTAAAAAAGAACCACTTGCTCAATCAGTTTGAAAAATCTTAATCTTATTCTCAGGGCAGATAACTTAGAAAAATAGGATGGGGAGTCATATTAACTATGGCAGGTAGAATTTTGTGAGAGATTTGTCCAAATTCACTTCAAGAGTGAGAGCGAAAAAAAATACTAGCTAACATTTTATATAATTAAAAGAACTCAGAGAGAGAGAGACAGATCTGAAATGCACTTGCAAAGAATCAAACTCTAAATAAAAATTCTTATGTATAAGAGTTAAAATTAAAAACTGGATGAATTGACAAAATACAGGTAAAAATATCATTGAAAATACCTTTCATAAAATTTTTCCCGCTCTCTTAGGGATTATACCAGGCTAAAATAAGGATTTATTTCTTTAGTGATGTTAGAAGACTCAGGGTTAGGATTCCCTAGTGTAATTAATATTATGTGTAATTAAAAATTGATTTTCTTAGCTTTGGTCGTCAAAGGAATAATATTGAAGACAACCGTAACTTCCAACAGCAAGCACCATAACGGAATTAATAAAATATCATCAATAACAATGTGAGCCATGTATAAGATGCTAGAGAAAGTTATCGCACTTCATGTTCACGAACAAAATGGTAGGCAGTGAGAGAGATTTACATTTACTCATCTAGTGCGCTCAATAGTAAGACGAGTTAGAAACTATCAGCCAATGACAGGATTCTAATGTTGATGCTTAAGCATCAATTAAACAATTAAAAGAAGAAAATTTCATGAATTAAGTTGTTGAAAAAGAAAAATTCAAACTGATGCGTGGCTTCCCAGGGGTTGGACTAGTTCAGTCAAGTAACTGCAAAGGCCGGCCGGTCCGCTAGGTTTGCCCTTCTGGGTGTGTGCACACGCAAACCTTTGTGTGTGTTTGTTATTTTCTATTTTAGGATTAGTTTTTTCTTTGAGATTTCTATCAGAACGGCCATCAACGTCATGTGTGTTTGTTATTTCTATTTTAGGATTAGTTTTTTCTTTGAGATTTCTATCAGAACGGCCATCAACGTCATGTTTTCCCATCGAAACTTGTATCCAACGGTGAGAGGGTATTCCGGATATAACCCACTCATCACATGGTGGTGTTTATCCTTCCTTTTATTACTTGTTTCCGCCAACTCCACCCAGTATTTCCTGCTGTTTCCGCAAGCAACCCATCTGACCTATTTCAAGCCGCCAGTCCAAATCCTTCACAGTTTCCTACCGCCAGCCCCAATCCCTCCCGTTTCGTGCAGCCAGTCCACCCACCTGCTGTGGGTTGCTGTCCAGAAGCCCCTCCTTGCACCGCAATTGCCTCCAGCCACTCGAAAGATGCTAGCCAACTGCACACCGACCTCCTATCTGATGACGTCAACCCTCCTCACCGCCCCGATTCCCCTGTTTCCACCCATCCAGCCGCAGCCCACTCCTATCGTCTTTGCCCTCGGGTGTCTTTGGTATTGGTGTTGCTATTTTTTTCCTATTGTCAAAAGTCTTTGTTGTAACATTTTTGAATTTCAGCAATCATTTTTTCATTTATATTGTGGTTTTGGATAACTCTAGTACCAATTGGTATCAAAACTAACCAAATCCTAGTCCTATCCTAGTTTTACCTAGCATCCGCCTCTACCAAGCACCTACACAAAATTTTCCATCATATTGACAAATACCTATTCCAATTTCCAAACTCTAGTCATACCATCAAAATGACACATGTCGAAACCTGCCAACGAAAGATTCGTCAACTACAACAAAGTTTCACGAAGATTGATGACAAAACTCAGAGGGAAATTACCCTCAATCGTGTTAGGGAGAATCAAAGATGAGAAAAATACGAGAATTGGAACCCCTTCCATAGGGGGTATTCATTGATAAGGAGGGCTGGCACAGACGTTTCTAAATTCATCAGAGGAGGTTGGGAGACGAGGCAAAATATGGAGGTCACAGATTCTAGAATAAAGGTGGATTTACTGAAATTCAATGGAGGTATGGATCCCAACAATTTCATCAAATGGTTACAAAAAGTTGAGAGAATCTTCGAGTACAAAGAGGTGTTAGAGGACAAAAGGGTGAAGCTTGCAACCATCAAGTTGAAAAAGAGAGCTTCCTTGTGGTAAGAAAATTGCAGAGGCAAGAAAAAAAGGTGGTGACAAAATTATCAGGTGGGAGAAGATAAGAAGCACAGAGAAAAACCTATCACCTCATTACCGTCTGGATATGTTTCTGAGACTCCACCACCTGTGACAGAGAGACCTATTAGTGGAGGAGTTCATGACACAGTTTGATCAATTGCAGATGAAGTGTGAGTTGGTCGTGCCAGATGAGTATACAATAACCCGATATCTTGCGGTCTGAAGCCAGCTCTCAGCAACATTGAGTGGTTGTAGCCTTATTGGTCACTGAGAGATATCCAGATCTTAGCATTAAAGGTGGAGTGTTAGAAAAAATAGAGCAGATAACCATCCGTAGTTGGAGACGTAAGCAGGAACATGCCTCAAGGAGTTAAGAAGACTGGTTAGGATAAGGACAAAGCCGCCCAGAGTGAGAAGAAACTAGAGAAGTATAACACGACCCACTACAGTCCCAGCTAGAAAATGCTTCAGATGTCATTTGACTATAGGACTCCGTACGATGGATTCAAGAACACCTATTCCTTCACCAATGACGGTAAGTGCGCCATCCTTCAACTTTCTATAGAGTCCGAGATCACAGGTGCCCTTGTTGGCAGAAAAGCATCGGTGGGATCTAACTCTGATGATAATAGAGAATGATAGGACTGAAATGTCGAATTCAGACATGGGACAGGCACAACAGAGAGTATTTTAGGACATCACAATTGATACCTTACCGCCATGGAAACTATAGTTCGAGGAGGTTCAGGTTACCCTAACTTTAGAATAGGTTGAGCCAACTTTGGATTGATTTGGGAGGATTCAGTAGAATATACATGAACAAAGTGCTAGTTCTGTTTAGTAGTGTGCCCTAAGAAAGGTGGATCAATATGGATGCATGCTCGCAAATGGAGTAAACTCCTCCGGTGTTTTGGGAGACAGTACAGCCAACAGTGGGATCCAGGTGCTACTAGGGCCGTATTCGAAGAACCTTCAGCCTTGGGATATTAAAGCAACTCCATCATTATCAACGTGCAGCCAGAAGGTTCGACGAATGAGTTCAAAATTCCCCCAACCCGAGAGGCTGACGCAGGGCAACCTGGAGGCCTCCACCTCCTAGTTATCCACAATATATACATATATATATATATATATATATATGAAAGTTATTTTCTATATTATGATTCACTTTTGCTTTGAGATTCATGTTTGGACAGTCATCAACATCTTGTTTCCCCTTCGAGAGTTGTATCCGACTGTGAGAAGTTGCTCTAGTTGTAGCTCATCCCAAGGTGGCGTTTATCCTTCCTTTTATTGCTAGTTGCCGCCAACTTCGCCCTACCTTTTATCTTGTTGCCGCCAACTTCGCCCACCCATCATGTTTCCTGTCACCTGCCCAAATCCTTCCCGATTTCCTGCCGCCAGCCCCACTCCCTCTCGTTTCTTGCAGCAAGTCCACCCAAATGCTACTGATTGATGTCCAGCCGCCCCTCCTTGCACTGCAACTGCCTCCAGCCACTTGATACTTGCTAGCTAGCCGCACTCTCACCTCCTACCTATTGTCATCAACCCTCCTTGCCACCCCGATTCCCCAGTCTCCACCCATTTAGCTCCCATTCAGCCACAACCCACTCCTATTGCCTTCATCTTGAGCAATTATTAGCTGTGAAGTAAGCACACGTGGATTTCGTTGTATTTTAGTTGTATTGGTTGCATTGATACAACCAATACAACCAATATGCAATAAAATCCATATATGTGGAGTCCGCACCTAATAATTTTTCATTCATCGTAGGGTGCCTTTAGTATTAGTGTTGCTATTTTTTTCTGTTTTCAAGAGTTTTTGTTGTAACCTTTTTGAATTTCAACAATAATATTTTCATTTCTATTGTGTTAAAGGATAACTCCGGTATCACAAACTGAAGAAGCTTCTATTTGGACAAGGCAAAAAATAATTAATTTAACTAGTAATAATTAGCATAAATATGGGCAAGTGTTTCAACTATCACTCGGAAATAATGAAGCATAGAGCAATTAATTAGTTAACCTTAACTGTTAAAATGTGAAGGCTCGAAACCTATAAATAAAACTTATTTTAGACATTAATGACCTGATCTTGTTGAACCATGTAGTCAGCCTGTAACCTCTGTTCGTAAGAAGAAGCCTGCATATATGGGAATCAGTTCTCAAAATAAAAAACCAAAAAACATAATGTTTTATTAAGAAATTATGTTATATTTCCAGAAACAATCAAAACCTTGGAATCAGGAAGGTTCAGTGAACTTTTGTATCCCAAATGCTTCGGTTTCTTCTTCTTTTTTGGCTTTATAGGTATATCAGTACTGTCAAATGTTAGCAATCTCTCAAAATCTACAGTAGAATCGGCTTCAAAATTTCTCTGGGGAAGTGAATAGCCATGTCGTGAACTTTGGTCATCCTGGAATGAACCTGTGTCGCCGCTTGAAACATCTGTTTTACTTGTCATGGGTATGGATCCAACAGGTCCAGAACTAAAAGGACTAATAGTCCGTTGCCTTGCAGCTGTTCTCGTGCGCTTTGTGGGCACTGCACTAACATTAAGGATACCTGAAGGCCTTTTCCTCATAATAAGAGTATGGCGTGCGGTTTTTCCCTCGATAGAAGGATCATATGATACATCAGCTTCATATCTAGTAGCATAGAAATTCTGTTGATAGATCTTTCTATTCTTGTGAATATATTTGGGTAAATAATTGCCTTCAAGCGCTCCAGAGAAAATGTCTGTCGCTGTTTCACCTTCATCCTCTTCGAAAGCAATTATTTGCCTGCCATCTGCATTAAAATTAATTCCAGGATAAGAACAAAATGATACTGATGTGTGCCTTCCAATATATAAAAGGGGAGAATAGTAGTGGTTCAGACTGATACCTGCAATAGAATCGCACATTGAGGCCTCACATTCTTCTTCCTGCAGTGCATTAAACATTTCCTAAATTGAGCATATTAAAGGAGAAACTTCTGCAGTTTTAGTTGTAAGCGAGCAATTATTAATCAAACCTTAGCAGCACGCTTTTCCGAAAAATTAACCCACACATTACAGTAAGTTTAAGCATTGTAGGTAGGGAAATGGACAAATAAGAACCTAATAAATGTTCAGAGAATGTAGAGCTGTCAACCATAAATATGCTATTAAGTGGCATTAGTAAGGCCGACCTTTGAAAAGGAGAAGGAAATGAAGAGATGACAAAAGTATTTTCACATCCACTGCATAAAACACACCTGAAGGTGCTCTTTTCCAACTCTAGCGTCCAAATATAATTGGATTTAATAGTGAAAACATAAACAGCTTTCATATAAGTGCCGAATTTGATACACAATCCCATTTGACACATAAGTTTCATAACAACCAATAAACTATTTTTTTTCCGGTACGAATGAATGTAAAGAGTCCAAACATTGGAAGCATTATCCCATCAGTATCGGATATCAGCAAAACAAAAAAACTTTACCTTGATCTGCGCACATTGAGACTCTATTGATTCCCTGTAAGAGTGCATAGCACCAGGAAGCACTTTATAGAACAAGTTCTCCTGGAGAGAAAAGTAACGACGGTTTAATGAAATAGGAATCATTAATAACAACAGATGCTGAAATCTACGCAAAGCACAACACGTTGCTAACAAAGGTCAAGCAAACAATGACTACAATAGTTCTAATCTTCAAAACGGTAAAAATGTGAAAGCTCATAGCTAATGTGTTTTAAAAACAAAGCACATGCCATACTTCTGAAAGTTGGTCATCCAAGAATACTCCAAATGAACCAGTATCCTTTAACCTATCAGGAGTTCTTGGTGCTTCAGCCAGGATAGGATCACTAGAGACATCAGAGAGATACTGCAAAATCCTACGTGCATAGCTCTGGAGACCTGGCTTAAGAGGCCCTCCACAAACTTCTACACTCTGACACAAAAGGAAGTTGCAATTATTGATAAAATTCATAAAAGTGAGGGGAGAATGAAACATGAAGACAGAAACATAAAAATGTCTAAACATGATTGGCACAAAAAAAACATTTATCGCAGGCCAGATAGAAGAATTGGCCACAAAACATTATACAACAACAACAAAACCTTTATCCCACTAAGTGGGGTCGGCAACATGAATCCTTGTTCTCCATTGTGTTCTATTTAGTGTCATATTTTCGTTTAATTCTAATAAATTAAGATCATTGTTTATACAATTTGCCCAAGTCTTCCTAGGCCTACCTCTGCCTTTCTCAACATAAATCGAATTTAAAATATTTACTCTTCTAATTGAATTACAAGGGTCCATGTTTAAAAGGAGAAAACTACTTTTTTTTTGCATTTACGTACATACCACCCAATTCCCATGCATTCACATATCGAACACCTAAAATACGCTTTTACCTTTCAAATCCTCACATTGCAAAAACAATAACACCATTTTAACTTTTAAAAAGTAAAATACACCTTTTTTATGCATAGGTTAGGTGATAAATGTGTAAAAATTGATATTTAGGTATTAGATATGTAAATACATAGGAATTGAGATGTATGTAAATCTTCCTTTTTTTTTTTGTTGATGAATTATTTGTATGCCCGAAAAATAAAATCGACGGTCACAAAAGATAGCACATATCTTTTATGGCACAAACATAATAGAAACATTGGCACAGTTTCTAAATCAGAAACTAGAACTCTGATAGAAGAGTCAAAAAAATAATTATGCGGGCGAATAATCAAGTGATGCAATCACATCAAGAAAGGAGAGAGATGAAAACCCAATTCATTTATTCAAACCTGATCTTTCACAGTATTAAAACTGCTGATATTTGATGCTTTAAACAGGTTTGCAGTACCATCTTCCTTCATGCCAGAGGATGCTTCACCTTTAGTAAGAATAGCACCAACAGATTTCCAAAAATTCCTCACAGCTTTGGCCAGCTTTCGAGCTACATTTCTCTGCTTCTGGCACAAATTTTCTTGCTCAAACTTTGATCTACCAACAGAAGCAATCCAGTGGCATACTTGGGCAGCAGCAGTTGTCTTCCAAAGCCGCTCCTGTTTATATACCGAAAAAATAAATCAGTTACAATTCATCAGGGAAGCACAAAATCGGAGAATATCCTGCACAAAAAAGTATCAAAATAGCAATAGTTTGGAGCAACAATAACACAGCATAAATAGAATGCAGCTTCGAAAGAATTGTATGAATCTCATTTAGAAAACCAAACCTGCATAAAATCATTTGCCATCCAAGCCATCTCTTCAAGAACAAAATTCCAATGGGTTTTTCGTTGCTTCTCTGAAGAAAAGCAACTAATAGATGGTACAGAAGCCCTCTTTAAGTTCGTCTGAGTAGGAATATGCTTACGTTATTATGCTTATCAGAATTAAAATGTGGATCTCATATAAAATAGCCTTGCAGAAATAAGTATAGAAAAAACCTCGATTATCCGAGCCTCTTTCAAAATGGCATCTTCATTTGCCCTTTTTGCTAACTTCAACTGGATAGCTTCACTATTCTGAGGCTCAGGAGCAGTTGAACAAACCATCCTGGAAGGGATTGCTAAAGAAGGCTCGTGACTGTGGAAATTAGAATTGACTATTATTGTACCAGTCTTGTCGACATCCTGAGGGATTTCCAACTTCTTATTTAGTCTAATCTCAGTGTTAGAAAGGACCCTATCTACAGCTTGCTCGTCATTTTTATTACATAATTGAACTTCATCTTTAACCTGAACTGAATTGTTGAACTTTATCTGAGTTCTCGCTTCACCATTACGAGTAATGTAAGCAGCAGCAGAACCTGCAATTTGGCTATTTTCTGCTGCGCTACCAGTGCCAGAAGTAACTTGACCTGCGACCTGACCTTTGGAGTTTAAGCCAACACTAACACCAACTCTATATGTCAATGAGTCGCTACTATCAGCACTTCCATGAAGGTGAGCTGTGCTCATATCGGCATTCTTTCTACCTACCATTTCAGTGATATTACTTGAAACATTTTCTTTTCCAGTAATATTATCCTCATGCGCTACATCTAGAGCTCTAAAGTTTTTGTCCTTCTCATCATGGTTGGAACCTTTAATGTTATCCATATCGCAAGGAGGGGCGGAAAGAAAACCAACAGAAGCAATAGACTCTTTCCCAATAAAATCAGGTGTTTGCTTATCTGCTTGTTCTGCAGAAGAAGAATTATAGTCAAAATTCTTCAAGTTTTCACAAGCATTGATTTTCACCAACTGCAATTCTGTCTTCTCTTTATCAAAATGTGTTGGTTTAGAGTTTATAATTGACGAAACAGTATGCTCCTGAACTTCTTCATGGGACTCCTTTACATCCCTAGCGTCTGTATGAGAGGAAGATAAAAGTGGAGATTTACTGCTGTGACTATCCCGGCTTGACCTATACCTATTCCTCCGAGCATAAGCCTGACCACCTGGTTCAAGTCGTAAAATCACTAAGTCATTTGATTCTTTTGCATTACGGCAACCATCAATCTTGGAAGATTGTTCAGCTGGAGCAGCATTACTTCTCCTCCCAGTTCTTCTCACATTCTTCTCTCTGCCTGGACTACAATTTTCACCAGAAAATAGTAGAAGATTGTCTGCAATATTAGGCTCACGACCCATAGAACCTGCTGGCCGGCCACTGCTTTCAACAGAATCCCCATGAGGCGATGTAGCCAGTGCAAAGCTGCCTTTTGCTTCGCTATTGTGTGATAAGATATTTATCATAATTTTATTCAAGCAGATGGTACATTGTTACAAAAATTGTAAATGCTGTGTTAAAAACTTAAATATAATAAACCTCGTCACATGCTGCTCAGCAAGCTGATCTCGAAGAGAAGTAGACTGTACACTAATTGATGTTGCACGGCCAAATTTATAATCCAATGGATTACCACCCTGCAAGAAGGAATGGTGTTTTATCAATTCAAAAAACAAACATAGAAAATTATTTTATTTATCAAATAACAAAAGGAGAGTATCTAGGTGCCTTTTCCAGAAACTCCAACTCTCTTCTTCTCTCTTCACGCACATCATATTCCAGCCTGCAACAGTTATATTAGAATGATCATTCAACTTCCGCAGGTCAAAAAGATAAATGCAATAAGTTCCCAAAAAATTCTAAAATTAAGGATGTTGCCATTGAATCATTTAATCAGTTGATTCAAAAGAGCAAAATTGAATGGAATAGAACCCACCGTAGCTCTTCCTGTGTCTTTGCAATTGCTGCACGATGGGGCGATGATTGGCTATCTAAACCAACTTCACAATCAACAACACCACCCATGGAATCAACCTCTGCATTCACCAAGAGGGTAAATCCTGGGTTGCATCCATGCATAACTGTTGCACTAACTTTTCAACATTCACCCTTGAAGAAGAACCCCTCCTGTAAATTCAAAAAATTTCCCCAAAAATCTTAAAATTAAAAGGACACAACTGAGGAGCCAAGTAGATGAAATAATTAAGGAAATGAAAGAAGCTAAAGATAAAGGAAGCCGAAAGAACTAGTAAGAGGAATGAGAAGTAGTGGGAAAGCAGATTCATGGAAGAAAGTCAACAAAAGCTAAAAAGGTGACGAACTACATATTCCTTAAGAGGAAAAATAAGAAAGAGGACAGAAGAGAGAATACAAGAAAAGTTCATCATACTTCTAATTGAAGCGTTTAGCCCAACGAAAGAGGAAAGAAAATGCACATTTTATTAGCTTTGTCTGTCATTTTAGGGCATAATAAAAGAATGCTGTTCAACAAACCTTAAAATGCAGCTATCCAATCTCAACACTTCAGAACTCGCTTTCAAAAACCAGCTCGTCTGGTTAATAAAAAGAAGAATAATAGATCTAGCAACATCTTCCATTATATTTTTTTTTCCATTACATTTGCCTCCTATACTATCAGAGAAATGAATGTCTTACTGTGTTTCATCATGATTTATACCAGCCACACTAATTCTTACAAACAAAGAAATTTCTTTCTTAAACCTGTGTCATGATTTCTACAGAAAAATGGGTTCACATTATGTTTGTGAACTTCTGATGGTTTCATTGCTTAGAAAGGAAGTATCGGACGAATGTCTGGGGTTATAAAATAGGGGCATTTACATACATATCACAAAATTCTTATGCGTTCACATATCTCACACCGCAAATTTCAAATTCATACATAACATTCAAATCTTTAATATCACATCCAAAATAGCATTATTACTACCTTTTAAAAGTGAAATACACCATGTCATGCATTGGTTTAAAACACCAAAGTGCTATGTATGTAAAGATGACTGTTAAGGTGTGAGATTTGTAAATATATAATAATTGTCTACTTATGTAAATTTCCCTATAAAATACCATTCAGTAATACAATCCACAATAATGTAAAGTAGAGGACACTTTCGTGCAAGTTACATGGCTATTTAAAGCAAGACCTTGTTTATCACATTGGATGAATCTTGAACTATAATTACATTCTCTTTCATAGGGTTTTTTTTTTCGACAATGCTTAAGGGTAAATTTATGGCCGCATAAAGCTTGTCGTCAACCTCCATCATAATATTCCATCAAACTACTACATTCAAACATCATTACTATGCAGATAAAACAGATAGCAGATAGTTGTCTAAAAGAATAATTAAAGTATGTCATATATGCTCCTGTATATAAATTTGATTATTTATGCCATATTAGATAAAAGTAAATGATCAACAATGGGTTTGTTGGTGGCCAATCAACGGAAAATATTTTGATAACTTGAATCACTGCATTAAAACGGTTGAAATTAATTGAAACTCAAAAGTCCCTCAAAAATAGCTCAAATTTTGGTTCGACATAATTAATTTCCTGTGCAAACTGACTTTGCTAAAAAAGAGTGGGGTTGACAACTACTATAACATAATATAATATAATAGATATACAAATATAAATAAAAGTATAATAAATAACACAAAAAAACAATTTATAGTAATTTAATGACCATTTTAAGTCATATCTAATCAAATTTTGAGTCTAATTTAAATTCATGGATTTAGATTCAAGCTAGCTCAGCCTTGACTCGAATTAATTCAATTGAAACTAGCACAAGTCAAATAGAAATCAAAGTATTTTTTATTCAAGTTGATCCAAACTCATTTGAAACCAGCTCAATGTCATCACTACACTCCACCATATTACTTTAAGTCTTAACTACTCTACAAAAATCAAATCAATCCTAACTCAAATCCAAATAGAATCTATATTAGCTTCCTCAAATCTTCACTTTCTTTAACTTAATAATTGCATAGATCCCTATAGTACCTGATTCCTTTGGTTTAGCTTCAAGTCTTCAACTATGAATTCTAATTATTAATCTTTACCAAATGTTCATATTATTATATTTGAGCTAGTACATAAGTGTACGATAATGTGCAGGCTGTCATATATTTTTGTCTGTCTGGCCAGTTATGAAAATTTACCAGCTGTAACCATGGAAACTTAGCAGCATTCCGTAAAGAATCGTTTTTAGAACCGTGTCAAACAAAGCAATTATAATTGAAAATTGAGCAGAGTGCAATGACAGGATAAGCCATAAGACCAATACATAGACAACTCTGGAATTTCAGCAGAGCAATACAAGAAAATACCAACTGCAAATTCAAGCAAACAATATAGTCAAGTCCCCTTATGCTCCCTGCCAGCATTCAGTTAGCAGTTTTTCTCAAATAAAACCATAAAGAAACAGAGTTTACACTAAAGTTACCAATTTTATGCCCAAATTTGAGAATGCAGAAGCAAATAAAGGAGAAAATAAAGCAAGCTCTCAAACCAATTCATATGGATAGTAAAAGACCAAAGGATACATTCTATCGTGCAAAAAAGGAGAGAGCAAAGTTGCATGCCGCGCCTTATAATATATAACTCATTCTTCCATACGATAATTCGCTCCCTCGCTTATTGCCACACGCTTCCTTCGCGTTGTACTGAAACAAGATGAGTCGGAGATACTTGAGGAGTTCCGAGTTCGTGCAGGCAGACATGCACTGGAGGAAATTAGCAGAAAATAGCACAGAGCCAGAAGGTGAGAGCTAGGGTTTTAGCTGAGACTAAAACAAAGGTGGAAGGGAGAAATAAGTTGGAGGACGAAAACTATTATGCTGTAGCAGAGGCAGATGAAGAAAACAAGGCTCGAGATAATGAATTCCGACCTAGGGTTTGGCTCGAGGGGGGTGAGGGCAGAGTAAGGTCGAGGTAGACGAAATTGAGTAGTGTCGTAAAATGATATCAGGCTTGCAGAACGACCGGGAGACCGGGGAGACCGGTTCACTCGGACCGGACGGTCTAATTCCGGTTGAACGCTTCATAACAATGTCAATTCAGATCTAGGGCAAAAGATAGAGGGAGAAAGTGGAAACAAGTGGGGATGGAGAGTACCAGCTGTCGGTGAAGTTGAGATCGACAGAAGTGAGGAGTTCGCCGGAGAAGTAGCCAATGGAGAGATGGTGAAGAGGTAGGGTTATGAGAAAGTGCTTCGGTTGTTGGTTGGCTTCGCATCGAAATTTTACTAGTGCGCGAGTCAGACCTGTTATGCACTTACTTTTGAGAATTGTATATTTCGTTAATGAACCCTAGATATCTAAAGTGGTAATGAAAATAATGGACTAATGTTTTAATAATTATATTTTGCTAAAATAAAAGTTTTTGAATTTTATTTGCAGTCATGTTGTATTGTTTGGGCAATGAAAATGAACATTCCTTGACTGATATTGAGCCTTTATTATTTCCTTTTTAGATAGTTATGAATTTAATTATATTTATATTGTAAAAACTCAATTGATAATATTTTTTCAGTAACTAGTAAAAGTATCAACGTGTTTAAATTATAACCCCACATATATTTTAAAAATTTTTCTTTAAGTGATTGAATATGATATTAAAATTATATATTAGCTCCAAATATAAAAGTATTATTATATAATTTATTCAATCGTCTAATAAAGGACTTCAAAATCTGTGAGTTTACATGAATTAGAGTTTTTCAGTATCTAATTAGGACTATTTTTTTAATAATATGGTATATGCGCTTCACAAAGATAAGCCCCTGTAGTTAATTATATAATAGAAAAATTAAACACCTAAAAAAGGCTCCCAATTAAAACAATGACTCCCTATGAATCTCAAAATTTTGAATCAAAATTGCTATTTGAAAATTAATTGGGATAACTCAAATTAAAACATTTCTTTTAAAGAACCAAAAGGGGAAAAGATAAAGTGATTGGCTATTGAGAAACTTAATAACGCTCCAATCTAGCCTGTGTTGAGTTTTACATTATTGAAATCTAGATTTATTTTATGTTCGAGTTGTTTATTTTATGATAAGATAAATGCTTATCTTTCAAGTGCACAAAATAGTGGAAAAGCTATGAATCAAGAACTTTTGATGCATGAAAAAGAGAGGTGATCTGCCTTAGATCTTTAAACTTAGATGAACAATATAGATAAAGGTATGAGGCTCCAAGCTTGTCTAACAATATTCAGATGGACTTAAAGATCTCGTTGTCACTGAAATGGAGACCAAGCCTAACTCTTCTAGACTTACGAACCTATTTGGAAATGCTGAAAAGCTATACCCACCAAAACGCTTTAAGACCATATTGTTCGATGTAATGAAATACATGATGGGTAAGGATACTATTTAAATTTAAAAGATTAAAGAAACATATCGCTCAACCCTATAGATTAAGTGGTTTGAATATGAGGGATGTGCAATGGTTTTAACAAATACAACAATTTATGGGTTTTATCTTTTTAATTAGTTATTCAATTCATCTTAAAGGATAAGAGTATGCAACTAATACATATATACATTTATTATGGATCAATAGTCAAAGTTCAATTAAAGGTATTAACAAATTGCTTCATGATGAACGGTTGTCCTCAATGGCCAAATGCAACGAGTAAAGTGCAAAAAATACTACTTCATGTTGAGATACACATGCAAATATTTTAGTTATTCTTAAGGGTTCTTAAGGGTTTCTAATATTTTTTTTTTCAATTAAATTCTTAGGGTGTTTATTTTGAATGAGTTGTCAATTTTAGATTGATTTAAATTAGGAAGAAAATTTAGTTTAACTCTAATATTTAATTATGACTGTCTAATGTGTAAAAATTAATTATCTTAGGCACACATAATCACATAAATAAACTTAAAAAAAACATCTTTGTTAAAGCATAAATTGAATAGACACAATAAAGCAATCAATTAAAAATTAAAAAAAATTATATAGAAAAAGACCAATGTGGCAACAATCACTATACACGCTAAAGAAATATATATTGGGCAACTGAGTTTTTCCCTCATACAACTCAATCTAGAATGTAATTTGACCTTTAGGATCTTCTTATTCTTCTCCTTTAGTTTCTCTTTCGAGGTGCGGGTCTTCAAGGCATCGTGAGCATCACCGCTCACACCGTCTATCCCTACTTATCTTAACCTCAAGGTTCATAAATGTAGTTCTAATTTAAATTATATTTTAAATTAGAAAAAAACCTAACTAATACTACAAAATAGAGGTCAATGGGCATGCACATGTCATCAAAGCAGACAAATTATACATATAAACTTATTATCAATGAGTGTCAATCCCCCTATTCTATTATATCAAGCTTATGAGCCATAGTGAGCATATGCATGTAAATTTATTAGTATTTTAATTTACTTAAGCATGGTCTCCTATAAATGACATCATCAATGCAATTAAGTAATCACCTTAGCAACAAATCTAGTGCATAAACAATCATCCTACCATCTAATCTACAAGCATAACATCACATCAAGTCATCATAAAAAAAAACCATCTTCAAAGAAATTTTAAAAAAGGTATATCCTAAATCTAGGGCCAACAACCCACCAATCTCAATTAGTGTGTGGGATTTAGTGTGGAAATTCTATATTAATCATTTAAGGTTAAAGTTTATATTCAATTTGAGGTTTAATTTTTTACTATGAGGTGGAGTGATCATCATCATTAAGATGAATTTTTTGTTTTAATTTGGGTTCAAGATGAATTTAGAGTTATGAAGAGTGTAAAGAGTAGTGGGATCTACTTAAGGAGGTCTCACTATTCCTAACACCATGGTCCTAATAATTCTAAACTACAGAGTATACTTTATCTTCTAATTTTACAAATAAATGATAGAATTTTTTAAAAATCAACAAATAGGGGACATTTGTATGAGCGTTTTATAAGAAGTCATGTATGCTCATAACACATCATCTAATCTAAAGGACCAATCATTCCTACTTAGATTAACAATTTTTTTCTAAAATTCTCTTATTCCTTATTTTAAACTTTTGCTAAAACACTAGTCTCACAATGATATGCAATATAAATCTTGTATTTAATCCAATTTTAGTAATTAATACCTCAATATTTTTATTATAGAAGTGGCTTTCTACTGCACTTATAATAATTATAGGTGTTCCAAATAGGCTAAAAATATATTTCTTTAAAAAATTTTGAACATCTTGTGTGTCACACCTAGGTCAAGCAACCTTTTTCTATTTTGAGATATAATCAATTATAATCAACAACTTTCCTAAAAATGGTATAAAAGATCCCATGAAGTCCACCCCCTAACATAAAAAACTTTCATTTCTAAAATATAATTTAAAGGCATTTCATATCTCTTTAAAATATTTTCTACTGGTTGAAATTTATCACATCTCTTAATATATTGATTGACATCCTTAAAATGGACAGGGCAATTTTAAGATCTTATAAGTAGTACTAAAATCTCTAAATACCCTTTAAAATCTAACTCATGGCACAATTTAATGATGTTTTCTACTTCTTCTAAAGGGACACACCTCATGATAATTTGGTCTTTACACTTTCTAAGAGCATGTTCATCCAAAAACAAAATTTTAGCATCAAATGAAAACTTTTTTTTTCCTTTGTTTATATGACATATCGTATGGACAATACTATTAATAATGTAATTCATAATATGAGCATACCAAAGAATAATTAGTTCAGCAATTTCAAGTAGTTGTTCATAAGAAAAATCTTATTAATTTCATCAAGAATAGTCTCCGAATTTTGCTGCTTAAGTCTATAAATGACCAACTACATGATTTTTAGTATCTTTTCTATCATTAATTCAAATTCTTATAACAAAATTACCCATCTGATCACATGTGGCTTGACATCCTTTTGATAGTTGAGTGATCAATGTAAATTTTCACTTTATTACCAATTAAGTAGGATATAAAGTTTTCAAATACAAACACTATCATTAGTAACTCCTTTTCCAAGGTTATATAATTGACTTACATATCATTTAGAGTTCTATTAGCATTATATATCATGTGAATGACCTTTTCTTTTCTCTGGCCAAGCATAGCTCTAAAGGCATATTCTTTAGCATCACATATAAGCTCAAAAGCAAACTCCCAAATAGGTGTAAATATAACTGGTGTTGTGATTGATGTTTTACTTTACAACTTCAAAAGCTATGAGGCACTCATCATTAAATTTAAAGGGCATGCCCTACGCAAATAAATGTCAAAGAGGTTTAAAAATTCTAGAGAAGTTCTTAATATATCTATGATAATCCAACATATTGTAAGAAACTCCTAATTCCTTTAACATAAGTGGATGTTTATAGTTTCTATATAACCTGAATCTTGGTGTGATCTACCTCCATCTCTCTCTTAGAAAGTTTATGCCTTAAGACAATCCCTTCAGCTACCATGAATTGACATTTTCCTAATTCAACATAAGGTTGGTCTCTACAAATCTTTGTATTAAAGGAAATATCAAACATAAAAAAAATTATCCATGAACACTTCAATCCCCTTTTAAATCAAATTAGATAAAATAGATATTATACATCTCTGAAAATTAATAGCTGAGACATTATATGAATAAATGTGCATTCTAATAAAGGCAAAAGTTTCATAAAAAATAGTGAAAGTAGTCTTATCTCGGTTTTTTAGTGTTATAAACATTTTATGATATCCCGACTATCTATATAAGAAGTAAAGTAAAGGTGTCCTACCAAGCTATCTAGGATGTGATAGAGAAAGGGCAAGAGAATGGTCTCTCCTAATTGCTTTATTCAACTTTATATTATTAATACAAATTCTCTAATCAATATAGTCCTAATGGGTATCAACTCATTCCTATCATTTTTCATCTTTATCACCCTTCCTTTCTCAAGAACATAATGAATTGGGTTTTTCCATGAAATATTAGATATAGAT